ATAGGTTGAAAAAGTATTTCTTGAGTCTCTTGAGTCAGTTTTGCAACTTACAGTAAGATCTATGCTGATGTGGCTACACTTTTGGCAATCACCAGCTTAGCTTGGATATGGCTACATGAGCTGAAGCAATGGTAGTGGCTGCAGTATAAACATACTCTTAGTTTGTAACTTCCCTGTGGAATATTTTGCACAATTAAAGCAGGTATAATGCTCAGTTACATTCTATACATTTGTAGGCATACCTGGTCATGAGGGCTGTGCGAAGCTTCGGTAGCCAATTCGATTTGGAGGATATTTGGCCTGATTTGGTAGCCGAATCTCTGAATCCAAATTGAATCGGGAGACCCATTAAAAGGTCCTAATCGAATTGGAAGCCTCCGAATCAATTCAGAGAGATTTGGCGCCAATTCAGAGATTCAGCCATAGGCTAAGCAGGCAGCAGTCCTCAACCACGCTAGATACAGATGCCTCCAGCTGTTAAGTCTATTTTGGTGCATGGAGGGAGGAAGGAAGAGGCATGGGGGTGCACACAACAATGCCCCCACAACAAGGGAGGGATTGGGGCTGGAACAAGCTGCCTAGCTGGGGCGGAGGGGTGCAGGATTTGGGGAGTGGGGCTCCTGCCACTGTGTGCTGCCGGTATGGGACGGCATGGGAGTCGGCATGTCCCCCCAGATCTGCACAGGGTGGGCTGGGCCAGGCTGCGCTCTGGATGGGCAGTGGAAGGCACTGGGAGTAAGGGCTATGCCCTCCTGCCACTCGCCCAGCTGGGGCAGGGAGGCACAGGATGGTGCCACTGTGCTGCCTGAGATAAGTGGCGGGAACAGCGGCAGAAGCCACTCTGGCCTCCCTGCACCTCCTGGACAAGCCGCAGCTTCTCCCCAGCTGTGCCAGCAGCGACAGGGCATGGGGGTGGGCACCCACATTGGGGAGGGGCTATGGAGAATTTTAGGGTGGCTGCAGCCCCACCATAGCCTCCGCTCCACTGCACTCTGTGGGGTGGGCAGAGCCAGGGCTGTGCTCCGGCCTGAGGCTAGCCACTGGAGCACATCCTTGGCTTCACCTGCCCCGCAGAACTCAGCCTGGAAGTGGGTGGTTGGACTAGCCTCCCGGAGCGCAGCCCGGCTGCAGCCCACCCAGTGCAGATCAGGGGGCACATGCCCGGTCACATGCCCTCCTGGACTGACAGCACGCAATGACACGCAATGGTGGGAGCCACCCTTCCCTGAGTCCCAAGCCCCCCTGCTCTGGCTGGGCAGCTTGTCCCAGTCCCAGGCCCAATCCCTCCTTCGCTGTGGAGGTGTTGATCTTCCCTCCCTCCTCCTCCCTTTCCCCTCTGCCCACCACAATAGACTGAACAGCTGAAGGCAGCTGTGTCCTGTCAAGGACTGCTGCCTGCTTAGTCTATAGCCAAATCTCCAAATCAGCGCTGAATCTTCAGATCTGAATCAGCCGAATTGAATCGGGACAGTGATTTGAATCACTGAGTCGAATCACTGTCCTTGCAAATTGGCCAAATCTGAATTGAATACTTGCTACTTCGCACAGTCCTACTGGACATTATATTATTTTTGTTGAACACTAATATTTTCATCCTTATTAAACTCTATGTGATTCTTTGATAAAAGAATCCTTTTGCAACTACAAACTTTGTGACAGCTACGAATTTGTGATTTAGAGGTGGAGCCTATAATTTCTCCACTTTTTAGTTTCTTTCCCTGCATTGATGATATTTGCATTACTTTCTGTTGCTGCTGCATATATAATGGCATGTATATTCACAGCTGGCTGTGTCTGTTTAGTCAACAGCTGCAAAGGGCCAAGTAGCCTGTTCAGGTACATACCTAAGCACTGAAAAAAGCTATAAATTTACTTAGACTTTATGTTAATTTATTCTGTGCTTAATGAGTTTTATTTATCTCAGCTGCTGTCAGTGCTGAGGTATTAACAGCCCTGAAACTGTGTGTCTTCTGTCATTTATGCTCTTCATTACAGCACTTTGACAGGTGCTGCCTCTTTATGGTTTCTGGCACCAGTTATTATGCAGTTAAATGGAGCACAGATACATTACAAAGGAAACAAAGTTGGGACTTATGTCACATTATGCTGTTAAGTGAATTATGCTCTTATCTGGTATAAAACACAAGTGGCATTGACTGTACTGCCCTGCAAAGTGCTAACTGCCCTTCAGTAGGAATTACTTCAAATGCTTTCAATAAAAGTTTGTGTCTTTCTCCTGCAGCAGGGCAGTAACACTCAGGTGGCATGACTTTATATAATTATATACTTTATAATATCTAGCTTATCTTCATCAGAGCCATTTACAGAAGGGGAAAGTAAGGCAAAAAAGGTGAAGTGACTTGACCAAAGTCCCCAAGAAGTGAGACTACAAGTTAGGTTTCCAGAGTTCCAGGACAGTGCTCTTTTCACTAGGCCTTGCTGTTCATAAAAAAGAAGTATCCACCAAATTTATTGAACTGAAGTAAGCCACTTATTAATAAGACTTTTGAGAACGAGTGTTTTTTTATTTGCCAATAACTTCTAGAATACTGTAAAGAGATCAAACTTACCAACACACTGATTCCATTGGTAATGCTGAATATACCCTTGTGGGCATCCACACCTGTAGCCACCCAGGATGTTCTGGCAGCCATGCTGACACCGGTGATTTCCATCACATTCATCCACATCTTTGAAAACAGGTAAAGTATACAAGAGGAAATGGCCAAAAAGACTTATTTTAGTAATTATGATTAGCAATGCAAACACCTTGTACAGAAGTTACTCCTACGGCACGATGATACTTGGCACATTACATGTGGAGGTTATGGAACGATTTTTATGAGCATTAGCTGAAGAACTGGATTCAACCACAATAACCACATAGGGTACATCCAGACGAGCATGGCCATGCAGTATGTGGCACTGCAAACACCTCAGCCAGGTGTTCTCCGTGCTGCAGGGATGCACTGCCTGTGCATGCACTGCTCTTTTTTCCCCCCCCGCGGGTTTTTTTGACCCCTGGATATCAAAAAACCCATGGAACCCATGGAAAAAAAGGGTGGAGCAGTGCACGCACGGGTAGCGCATGCTGCTGAAAAGCAGAGCTGGGCCACCTGGAACTGCACTGGTTCACTGCTGCTGCGGCCCCAGGAAGCTCCCAGGATGCCATTGTGCCTACTGAAGGTTTTCAAATATTAAGAGCCTGAATCCCATTTTCAAAAGTGACTTGGGTTCTTATAATTTGGATGTTTCTGGAAAATTTTCCCTTCCTTACTAGACTCTGTATCTGGCATGAAAATCTATTTGGAACTTCTTGCTTCTAGTCAACTATGTTCTAAACTGAAAGCCAAACTTTCAGTTTAGAAAGCAAATGCAGAAATCATTTGGGGTGATTTGCTTTAAAAGAATGAACCTGCCGGCAGCCACTGAGTATACTGCAGAGCAATTAGCAGGAATATAGTTTACACAAATACTATGGTATTCTTAAAGCAGCAAGAAAATAATTGTAGGTGTAGAGTTACTAACTGATATCATCAGGATTCCTTCCTGAATTGGGGCAAAGATCTTTAAACATTTTTTAAAAATGGTAATAGGATACTTAGGGGTGTCTTTACACGTGCTCTGGGATGGGAGTGGAGTGGTGCTTTAGTTACAGCAGCTCTTGGGAGCCAATTTAATTTAAGACATACAAAAAACTAGAACTCTTGGTTCCAAAATGATACCTTGTATTAGACCAACTGGAAAATGGCAAGAAAACTGTTCTTTTTTGCAAGCTTTTGGGATCAAAGTCCCTTCGTCAGGCTCTGGGAAAAGTATAGATGGTACAAGATGGTAAAAAGTCCCCATAGGTAGGAAATAAGCTTAATTTTTGCACAGAGGGAGCTGAAGATGGAAGGCTGTCCCTCTGGGTCCATGAGAGTGTCTTTGTGAGCTGTGTTGAGTAGCTCTTTGATGTGTTAGCTGGAACCAAGAGTTCTAGTTTTTTGTATGTCTTTTTGTCTCAGACCAACACGGCTACCAAGTACACCCCTGGAACTTTAATTTAAAGCATCCACAGCGTCTTGTGTATTCAGCGTCCCGCACTTCACAATGGTGACAGGGGTGCTTTAACTATAAAGCTTTTTGAACAAGCTTTAGTTAAAGTGCTCTTGCTGCCATTTTGAAATGTGGGGACGCTGAATACATAAGATGTTGAGGCTGCTGGAGCATACTAAATAGCATGCTCCAGCACACTTGATTAATCAAGTCTGATCCAATGCAAACTAATTAGCATGTGCTGGAGCAGGAGTTGGGCATGTGTATAGGTGCCCTAGCTTGCCAATTTGGTGTTCATTTAGACTTTTAAAGAGCTGGAATCAATTTCCAGAAATGTGTTTTACAAGTGATTTATTTTCTAGTTTGCAAGGCACTTAGGAATGCACTCAAGTATGAGAGATACAAATATGCAAGACAAGCACTGAGGTGGTCTGATTTGTCCACCTGTACACAGTAAAAAGAAGACCATCAAATAAAAAACTTCCCGGCCTACGCTTAAAGGAAGAAAGGAGCAGTAATAAAGGGGAAACACTTGTTTGAAATAGTCTCCTGTTTTTAAAAAAATGCACATCTAATAAAACTCATACCTAACAGGAAATTGTAAGCAGTTTAACAAAAGTCAGGGAAAGCAGACTGTTAGTTAAAAATCAAAACAGCACACATATACCACTAAGCATGACATCATCAACTACAAATGATATTTCTCCAGCTTGTAACCAGAAATATGCTTTACTAGTTCTGTGGGGATTGTGATATCCACAAACTTGAGACAGAAAAATACAGTGCTAAATTCTCCTTTTAGTGGCAACTGGAATAGAAGGTTTTAACTACGCCGATTTTTGTGCATTTGCCTAATCACAGTGTTATATCTACAGTGTTGGGGCATTTACAATGTAATAAAATAGTTAAACCCCAAGTCACTGACTAAATACTGCTTAAAGGATACTTTATACTTTTAAAACATGGCATTGCCTCTTCTCCTGTAATACCCATTCTTTAACATGCTTGTTATGGTGAGACTTTTCTTTTTACTTAAAATATTTTCACCACAATCTAAGTTACTATATCTTATCACATTTCAAGCTCCTACTCCATGCTTGGTTATGCATATTCTGTGCCTTGCTGTGAAAATGTACCCTAAAATATCAACTTTAAGTTAAATGTGTATGGTTGCAGAAATATCCTTGAACAGCAAACAGAATGTAAAAACAATGCAGTGCTGCTTGCCTGAATGTGTAGACAGCCTGAAAAAAGAGCTGTGGAATTTGAATCCAGCAATTTTGCCATTGAACTTTTTGCTTTTCTGTAGCCAAGTGTGCATACTTTTTCTGTCTTCTTCCCTCTTCAGGCCCATCTCAGCTGCCAACAGTTCATTCTCCCTTGCTTAGTGCTCTGGTCCAGCTTGCACCAAAGAGCCAGAAGTTGAACTTTGGCTCCTGGAGAAATGTGGAACCACTGAGGCTGATGAGATGGGTACTGAAGTCAGTTGCCCTTTCCTTTGCCATACTCAGAGAAGGGATGGAGTATCAGGTTTTGAGCTAGGCTGCCTGGAGAATATAACTGTTAGTTATTGGCATTATTGTAGCCTACAAAACCTGGTCACAGATCAGAATCCCATTCTGATAGGTACTGTTTATCTCCAAAAATCAGTATTTTTATGAAAATGAGTATTTTTTAAAAATGAGCCACAACTGTGTGTTTGAATGGCGAGGTAGGAAGGGGAATGAAACATATTTTATGTATATGCCAGAAAGTAATGTTGCAGCTGTGGAGTTAGGTCCTACAGTTTGTAAACACATATAGGATAAAGCTTGAGTAAAATTTGATCTATTTAGGCCCCTTTATGTTCAGGTAAAGACCTGATAGGATCTGATGCATGATCCACACAATCATTTCTCTTGCCATGCCACAAGTGTATGGCAGGAGGCATGACTGTGGGATTGAGCATCAAATCTAATTGCACCTGAATGCTCATGCAGGGGGAGCCCAGGATTGTGATCCTAGGCTCCGCTGCACTAGCAAGTAGCAAGCTCATGTGGCTGGGAATCCCGCAGCTGATGGGCCTCGCAGCTGTTGGAGCTCATGGCAGGCTCCTGTGGCTGCGAGCTTTGCCAGTTGTGGGACTCCCAACTGCTGGAGTGAATAAGTGTGCCCTGCGGCAAATCCTGTCAGCTGATGGGGCTTCCAGGCTCAAGGGAGTACCTGGCCAAACATTCATTTTAACAGCATGATAGGAATGAGCTATGTAAAGTTGTTACACATTTTTTTGTGCAATAACTTTGTGGCTTATTTCTCAGTTTATCACACCATTAATTGACTGAATGAGTGGCTGGGTCACAACTTAAGACATGATTAACAGGCTAATCACATCTTAAGTGTAATGTATAGCAGGTGCCTTGAACTATATTTGTATTTGATTTTGATTTTGCTTTGGCACATATGGGCAACTTCTATAGGTCATGGAGTATTTTGCATAACTAAAGACAGGACATGTCTATCTTAACAAAGAATTTTTGGCCTTTACAAGTTACCTTCACAGTTGAGTCCAGTAGAATCCAGAGAGAATCCTCTCTGACACTCGCAAGTGAAACTTCCAGGAGTATTCTGACAGATTCCTTTTGATCCACAAAGTGATGTCTGTGAACCACATTCATTGTTATCTAGAAAAATACAGCAGTTTTCACAACTATTGTACAGATGTAGCAAGTGGAAAAGAAATACGTGCATGAGGACCAGGATGAACTTTCACATCTTTCTGCAGGCAGAATTTGCACCTACACCATTTTAAAGTTACATTCAATGTCAACTATTTGATTTGCAGAATTATGGCCAGAAGTACTCAGATAACTTGTACATAACTTAAATGAAGCAACAAGTTATATATGTAATTCAATCACTGGTGCCAATTTGTACCTGTATTTTTTTGAAGGCAAAAAAAAAAGAGGCTGCTCTTTTGAAACTTAGCCACATTAGGATGGTTTCAGTTGGCAACATGTATATGCTAAAGACCTAATGACATCTGTGTCTATCAGCGGAAAAACATTCTGCAATCTGTTTTTGATTAGCTAGATTTTTAAAGTCAGACTTTAATAATATTTACCCCTTTGTCTCCATGTGGTTACATTTAGAATGTAATATGTAGTAACTGCCTACAAATATTCACAAAATAAGAAAGTGATCTTTGATTTGTTTTAGACTTTTTGCATTTTTATAATTACTTGCCTTTTCTTAACTACTTAGAAATAAAACATTATCTTCGTATTTTTACCAACTCTATAGTGCCAAAATGAATTAAAAGGCTTGTTTAGCATTGCTGATTTGGAGGAGGAGGAGGAACAGGAAACTGAGGATAAGGAAAACTCAGTCAATTTGTTCTTACCAATACAAGCTGTGTGATGCTGAGTGAAACCTGGAGGACATTTGCACGTGAATCCCCCAAGTGTGTTAACACAGAGGAACTGGCAATTGTGTTGCTTGGTTTGACATTCATCAAGATCTGAAAGTAACAGATTATTCTTCATTAGAAGGACTTACATATGGTCTCTTTAAACTGCAAACAATGATTTGAAAGTATTTTCTGTTAACTCAGAAATAAATGCTTTATTCTAACAATCACATGACATTTAAGCCCTTATTTACCAGTCATGAAAATGCTGGTGCAAGTTAAATTTTGTTGATTCTCTGTTACATCGGCATTATTCTGGCATCAATAAAATTGGTCAATGCATTTACACTCTGTAAAACTAGCATAATGGAGAATCAGGCTTCTTGATTCAATAATGGTCAGAAAATGAATTTAAGGAGCATTGCTAATTTTAAGCTGAGCTGGTAATTTCACATTCTATCGAGATCAAGTTCAGTCTTGGCAAAAGTGAATGAAGCTTATAAGGGAATTGGTGTGGCACTTTTCCTGAAACCTTTTCTTCACTTACTTTTTAAAATATAAATGTAATCACTAGTTTTACATCAAGCTGAAGACAAGCTGTGTGCAACATGTACTATGCCATATACAAATGATCAGAAAATTAGAGCATACTTTTTTTGCCCTGCCACTTGTTCACATTAAAGCTGGCTAGAAAGCAACTATAAAGTTGTTACACATTTTCAAGTACTAACTTTGTAGCTGGTTGGCTATTTTTGTAGCCGGATGGACATTTTTATAGTATAATTACTTTGCATGTGTGGCTGATTAAATTTTTTGTGTGATTAACCAGTTAATTGCACAATGTATGTAAAGTATGGCAGGGGTCTTTTTGTTAGAAGAGCTGTGTCTGTTACATCAGCTCTTAAGAGTGAAGGTACAATTATAATATGATGGTATTTATAAAGATCACATGTAATAAATTAAAAACAAAACAAAAACCCGGCAAAACTGTAACTGATTCATTCCTCACCTTTGCACGTCTTTCCATCTTCTTGGAGGACATAGCCACGAGGACATGAGCACTGATAGCTTCCTTCTGTGTTCTTGCAGATAAAGTTGCATGGTTTTGGAGACTGAGAGCATTCATCAAGATCTAAGGAAGATAATAAATAATTAGCTATGATATCATTACCTCAAAGGATGCTCTGAAAGAGAATACCATTTTTCAATGCTTTCTAAATACTTGTTGCTTTACAGAAGACAGCTACTAATGAAAATCTGAGATGGGAAAGAGCTTTTCATGTGAAGGGGCAATGTGTTTGCTATAAGGATGTTTAAACAATAGTCACACTTACACAATTTAGATTAATTCCTCACTCCAAGCCAGAACACTCATGTTGAATCATATGTTACTTTATAACCCATCCTATTGCAATCAAAGCAAATTTAGCCCTTAGACCAATTAAGTTGTTCATTCTCCAAACCATGTGGTTTTTGTTTTCTAGTGTTTTTATATACTGGTGAGTTGAGCTGTCTCAGCTCATGCTACTTCTGAAATGCCATTAGTTTAACTTATTTGTAGTAACTAGAGTCTGAGTTTTCCCCAGGATAAGTGTGTAGTTTACAAAGGGAAGGAAAGAGATCTTACTTTCTATGCTACCAGGATTCAAGGAATTTAGTTGGAAATGTCACTATGAAAATGTAGTTTATTTAAAAAAAATTGATTGCAAAAATATTGAGTATTAATGTGATAAACTTTACCCACACAGGATGTCCCACTTATGTCAGTGGTGTAGCCAACTTTGCAAATGCATCTGAAGGAACCCATGGTGTTGATGCACTGGCCATTTCTACATAGATTTGGCATGACCTTACATTCATCAATATCTGTAAAGGAGATATTAAATGTTTCATCCTTTAAAACATTAGAAACTAAAATTCATTAGTATCACCTGTCTTAAGGTTCCTGAAGTCCAACTCTGATTTTTAAAATAAAGCTCATTACCCAAAGTATAAAATCAATTTTCTTGCTTGCTCCTACTTCCCTTTTTGTGAGTTGATACTGACATAATTTGGTGGTTAGCACCTCCAACTGATTCAGGCAGGATTATACAGATGCAAGCAATCTGGGAGGAACACTTAAAAAACCCTTTCTTTTCTAGAACTTTACAGTAGGACTCAGATACTTTGCAGAGATCGGTTCCTAACCCCCTTTCAAAACTGAGGGCGTGCAAAATATCTTAAGGTAGGGGTTTCCAACCTTTTTTTACCAAGTGTACCCATTCTGTCTCAAACTTTAAGTTCACGTACCCCTTTATATTTTTTTCTTGTTTTTAAGGGGCGGTGGGGGGCAGATCAAGGCCCCTGCAGTGAGGGAGGGAGTGGGGCTGGGGCCAGCACTGCACAGCTGGGGTGAAGCTGCAAGCAGCTTGTCCAGGGGGTGCGGGGAGGGACAGTGACTCCTGCTGCTGCATGTACCCTGGAAGGGCATGGGGGGCCGTTGTACCCCCGGATCTGCACGTGGGGTGGGCTGCACCATGCTCTTCCAGGCTGGGGCTGGGCTGTGCTGAGGGAGGGTGGCAGTGTCAGTGGGAGTGGGGCTACT